ATTGGTGTTGATCCTGCAGGGAGTATACCAAAACTTTATTTTGAATTTATGGGAGATACTTACGTCGATGATGATCCATCGGGGAGTATATAAAAACATTATCGTTAACTTGTAAATGATCCTTCAGGGAGTGTATAAGAAATTCGTTGTCGACTTACAAGCTATCGACAGGTAAAATATTGTTCTAATTATTCTATCCATTAATATTTAATATTAGTGTCATTCTGGGACTACTAGTATTCAATTGAACCTTATAAATTTGGATAGATAGATACTGCACTATTTCGTAATTGCACAATTCTATCTTCTAATCCAACCATATTACGAAGATGATCATAAGTTGAGCTATACAACATAAATAATTTATATCCAATATTTCCACCACTTTTTATATATAATCTTTCTCTCATACAAAATAGACATACTTATAGGATCACATGAATTTTTGTAGCACTAAAAACATTAGACACAAATACTTTTCAAAATTTTCAAATCATGTCAGTGAAATTAAAATCTTGCAGATTATATAATGCGTCCTTCAGTCCATAATATTCAAACGAACATATAATATTTCAATAATAGCCAAGTTTCACGATACACAAAGCCACCATCATGAAATAATTGCCAATAAAATAACAATAACACTAATATAATCATTATATTCACGATACACTCTTCACAGAAGCAATGTATTGAATCCAATAATCCATCAATCAACCAAATATGTAAAATATGCAGTAAAGAGAACAAGAGAAGAGGAGCAGAAAAGTCTGTAATCTTATTCATGTCGTATATCACCCTTTTATAGGGTTTATAAGAGAGAAGCCCTAAAATCTAACTTCCCTAACTAATGGACTTCATGCCCAATTGTATATTAGTAATGTCCATATTAATATACAATTCATAAAATAAAAACTAAAACATAACTATTTGATTACTGACAATAATTAAATAATCAGGCAGCAATCCAATTTTTTCAATTTTCAACCATCAATGACTAATTGGCGCAGGCAGGCAAACAAATCACAAATCACAACCAAGTTTATTAACCCATCTAATTATCTATTGTGCAGCATTCAGGCCGATTAATCCAATTGTCCAAGTCCAGCAAATACAATTATTGGCCAATAAAAAAATATTCTACCAATCAATTAACAATACTGTAAAACACTTATTGCACTTTAACATGCTCATTAAATAGTTTCCATCCATGAGGCAAGTATATGTCTGTCTTAGGCAATTTTATATGTCCAGCAAATACAATTATTTGATCACTGAATTGTTCATCAATTATTTCATACGCAGTGCAACGAACAATAATTGAATTTTCATTCATATTACAAGATGCGATAAAACTGCAATTGGCAACTTAATTATATGCATAAACACATGCTCTGATACCACATGTAAGAAATTTAACGGGTATATCCATAAATTAGGCGGAATTGAATAAACCCTAAGCATTTAATTCTATCAATTCATAGAACATGGATCTGTTGCATTAATTAAATTTCACATAAAACTTACAAGAATCCAGCTATAGTCCTTCCTTGTTCATCTTGATTGTCCGTTCATCTTTATGTTGCCGCCGTTCGCTTAGATGGTAGAGTACTCGTGCTGATAACGTGTTGTAATATAGATTGACAATATGTAAAATCTATGTGTAAAATAGACAAGATAGAAACAATAGAAGAAGAAGAGAATAAGAGAGAAGAGATACGCCGTCAAAACCCTCATCTTATTCATTCACTTGAGCCCTATATATAAGGGAATATAATGTACATGAGTAAGTACCTAATGGGCTCCTGGCCCATGCCTACAAATCCTATATCTAGGTAATGTCCACAACTTAATATTTACAACAAATTTAAGATTTAATGAGCACATAAAAATCGGCCCCTCAATTGTGTTAGGCGTGTAAAAAAAAAAAAAAAAAATAGAGTAGGAAAGTTTATGTCTTGGTCACGAAGTTAAATTATGGAGAGAGAATCATATTCCCATGCAAAATAAGAATCCTATTATTATTCCAAGTCCCCTAAAAAAAAGAGAAAGAAATGTCCGCAAGAAAGAAAGAAAAAAACGAGTCTAGCTGCTGCTGGAGACAAAAAAACTAGTATGTATCTATTTTTTTTTATATGCTTGCAAAAAATACTACAAAATTACAACATTAAAATTAAGCATATAAAATTTTGTTAGATTCTTGTTAAATGAAATATACTAACTTAAGCTTCTGATTGTGTGGTCCACTAACACTATTATATTTATTGTTGAATTATTAAAAAACTAAGGGTGTATTCGATTGGAAATTTAAGTGACATTTTGAGACTTTTTAAGATTTTAGATTCTTCAGGATTTTCAGATTTTGGAAGAATTCTATGAAATCTTAACTCTGGAGTTAGGATTTGAAGTGAGATTTCGTATAAGGTTCTTTTTGTTTAGAAATCCCACCAAATCTTAACGGGTGATTGTTTATTATTTCAACTAAAAAAAATCAATTAGAACTCAAATTTAACTCAACTTTAATCAAACCACATTATCTTCAATATTATAAGTATAATTAAATAATACCAATCAATCATTCTTACACATCACATCAATTTAATTCACTATTCATCAACTCACATAATTTTAACTTACCATAACTTTTAGTTATTTTTATCATACTTTACATCAAATCAATTTGAATTATTTTATTTAAATATTATTTTAATATATCAACTAACAACTAACCATACTACTTTTTTTTTTAAAAAAAATTAACTATAACTAAAAAACAAATCAAATAAAAACTAATTGAATCCATAAACAATCACCCCCTAAAAAGTCTAATAAATCTTGGTGTTAAATAAATTAAATATATCATCCTAAGACTTTTGAAAATCCCAATTGAATACCCTAACATTTTTAAAAGTCTTAACAAATTTAAATTAAAATCTTAAAAAAAATTTAAAATCCTAATTGAATATACCCCTAAATTATTGTGTACATGTTGCCAATGTGGATCATTATGAAATCTAGTGGTTATTAACCACTGTTCTAATAGTCGGCTTAGGCGTTAGGCGGTGCCCGAGAGCCTTTGATTTGCACAAATCGGCCAAAAAAATCGGCCAGACGGCTAGGCGGCGCCTAGGCGACCCTAGGCGCTCCTAGGCGGCCTTGGCGGGCTCAGCGGCCAGGCAGTTAGGCGGCGCCTAAGCGGGCGTAGGCGGACCTAGGCGCTCTTAGGCGGGCTCGACGGTAATTTTTCAGTTTTTTTTTCTTATTTTTTAAATACTAATTACGTTATTTTGTCCTCATGTTTTCTTTAAAATATATTAATATGATTATTTGGACTTAGGTGTATTGATTTATTATAAGTTGAGATAATTTTATTTTGTAAGTAGTTAAATAAATAAAAAATAAGGTATTTAATATTGGTTTCTAGGCCCTGAGGCGGCCCCGCCTAGGCGCTAGGCACTGGTCGAGCGCCTAGCGGGCGCCTAACGACTTTTAGAACACTTTTATTAACAACTATCAACATCAAACTCGTATTAGAACTACAGCATGGTTAGACATGCCCAAGGGCCGCCTGGTCGCCGGCCGGACTCGGACCGATCAAACCCGTTGACTACGGGTTCGGGACCGGACCGGATTTCAGACGGGCCGCCCGGTTCGGCGGGCCCGGGCCGGGCTGATGGCCCTTTTTTTCTATTTTTTTTCTATTGTTTTGTAAAAAAATGGTGGACCCAGCCCAGACACGATCCGGCCCGTTCAACCGGGCCGTTGACCTGGCACGATTATAGGTCCATGTCGAATTCGGGTCAGTGTTTTTTGGAGCCCAGCGGGCCGAGTCGTGACCCGCCCTGAGTTTTGGCCATGTCTAGACACGGTACCGTAGCCGTACTGTTACTGTAGCCGCTCCCAAGAAGTTTTCTCAAAAGGATCATGCTACATGTACATCTTGGTGTACCACTTGGTTTACATGTACAACTTGATGTACAATTTACTAAATTATTCATTATAGGTAAATGAGTACATGTACCCCTTAATATAAATCAAATGGTATTAGTTTACATGTACAACTTGGTGTACCATTTACTAAATTATTCATTATGAATATATAAACCAAGTGGTACTGGAAGGGTACAATTATTCTTCCCAATTAGTACGTACCCCGTGCGATGCACGGAACATAGATATTAAATGAGTTATTTTAACTGCCTTGTCCGTTTAAATCTTAAAAGTAATAGTGTTATTATCTATTTTCTACCTCTTTTGATCAACGTTAAATCTTAAAAGTAATAGTGTTATTATCTATTTTCTACCTTTTTTAACCAGCATTGTTTTTTAGCCAGAACTTAAATATGAATATGTTAGGGCTAGCTTGTAAAATAATTAATATATTATCTCACTAAAATATTTATACTAATAAAACTTGACGTTCAATATATACATATATCCCTTGATATAAGAAAAAAATAACAATTTTATTTATTCTTGTTTATCATATAATATTTAATTATTATTTTATTATATAATAAAAAAGAATAGTGTTAAATAGTTTTTTTTAACTCAAAGATAATATTAAAAAAATATAAATATTCATACAAATATACGAACCAAGTTTTTTTAATAGTTTTTTATAAGTTTTATAAAAATATATTATAATATGTTACTGTATTATTCAAAATCGTAATATTGATTTGTAGTTTTTAGAAACAGAATTTTGATTGTGTTTGCTCACCCCATTTTATGGAATTTTTTTATGTCAAGATAAGAAAGATTAAAAACAATATATAAAATAGGAAACTTGATTAAAATTATAATTACATTAATTACTACTTGATAAAATTAGAAGTTCATTAATTAAAGTTGACTTTTCTATCTACTATATTTAGTAAATAGGTTTCCTTTTAATATACGTATAGAAATCATAAAATTGAATTCAATTCATTACCTGAAATCGAAACGTGAATAGCTTCAACAGGACAGTTGTCCGTTCTAAAATCTCTGCAAGGGTGATGGCGCCGCACGATTTTCGCCGTCCATTCAAACGGGCGGCGATCTCTGACCAACAGCGGCGGCGCGAGCTGTCTCTGCAGCGGCAGGCCCAGAATCGTCGCGACGCCCAACACCAGGCCCGCTGTTTGGCCCAAACTATATTATCTTTACAAAACGATTCTGCGGAGCCCGATTATGAAACACTGCCACAGCCCGAAGAACATGCCAAAGATTTTGATCTTCGACAAGCGGCGAGGCTGAGAGGGCCTGAAGCCCGACGATGGTTTGCAAAGCAGCTCATGCTACCGGAGTGGATGATTGATGTCCCTGAGCGACTAAACACCGATTGGTATGCCCCCTTTTTCTTTTGTTTTGTTTCTCTGTAAGCTATTATCCGAACTGTTCACAATCCCGTGATGTTATTTCATCCCCTATTTGTTGCTATTCACTTCATTTATCTGAATTTCGAATCCTCTTTAATAGTTATCCAACAAATGAAAGAGGTAAAATTGCTTACAACATTCTAGAAAGTGGATGATTAACTTCTAACATAATGGAGCTGAGATTTATGTTTAGTGTTTACACGACGTGACACAGTGATTTATGTTTAGTGTTTACACCTATAACAGAGGCTTTATGGCCTTCATATCCATATAGTGTGCATGATAATATTGCATCTTTGTAGTGGTGTTTTAATTTGGAAAGATGAAGTGACTGTTTACGGCTGTGTTTGAGGTTATTGCTGGTGCTAGGGAGCGAGAAACTGGGGTGGAACTGAATTAGGTGGGATGTGGGCACAACGAGATTTGGAAATGAACCTAGGAGGCAGACTAAACCCATATATTAAGGACCATCACCTTGATGTTATCATGTTAGTCTTGGGTGGTCAGTTCAACGTCAAATCTGGAACTGGTATAAGCATTTTCAAGTTTGATTACGTGAGCAACACTTACTGTTGTAAGAAGGTTGATTGCGTCATATGGTCGGGGGCGATCTTAAATCCCATCGTTCATGCCGCTGAGATGGAATCCTAGTTTTAGATGTGGTGTTAAATCTCAATCATGGGCTACAATTCCTCTATAAGAACATCCATCATATCATGTTGCTGTAAAGAAGCCGACCATTCTCCTGGATTTGTGGAGAAATCATTCTCCAATTTGTTCGAGAAATTCAAAAAAAAAATAAATAAAAAAGAGTAGGTGATTTGCGTTGCAACCAAAATATCCACAGAAGTGCTGGACCTTCCATTGTAATGAATGCAACTGGAAAATTTTGTTATTCGGAACCTTATGCCCTGTAAAATATTGATCTGCCCAGGCTAACCAACCAAATAGGGTCGAGTCCATTGAAGGTTGAGAGTTCTATGAACGTGGATGGAGGCTGGGGGAGTGTGATCAGCAGATATTCGCCACTATTGGGATCTGATATCAAACTACTACTTTCAGATGATCTTTACCTTTGTGGGAAGTCTGAAGCAAATCACTTATTGCTTGGATCTCATCGAGTATAGCGTGTTCTCCAAGTATGCAGCGGTTTATGCCTGCTCTGGTTTGATGGAAGATATGTTTGCAGTGGAAAGTTGTCCCTTCTCCAACTCTTCGATGCAGGACTCCAAAAGTGTAATTTCTGGATTTTAGAGAAGGGCAGTTCGGACATATTGATGGAGTAAAGAGCCCAACTGAAGAAATAATTTTATTGACATGTAATATCTGCAATAGCAGCCGAGGATACAACTTCACTTTTCATGACCTGCTAGCCAAAGGGTCAAAAAGAGAATAATACTTTCCTGTACACACTATATTCGATACCTAATATATATAGCTATATATGTATCAAAATCATATAAATAAGAACAGTATCTATAATCCTTGTTCTCTTCCTTAGTGGTACCAAGATCATCCTGATGATTTTCATCTTCCTAGCATTCTCAACAACAACAACAACAACAACATACCCAGTATATTCCCAACTGGTTGGGGTCTAGGGCTGGGGGGTCAGTTGTACGCAGACCATTCCCTTGTAATTATACAAGGAGGCTGTTCCGTAGCGACCCAAGATGCATTGCGTCGTTTGACATATTTTTTTTTTCTAGAAACTTCAAAGAAGCACTATAATTTAATTGAACCATTTTGATCTAGTCCATTATTAGCACTATGCCAGAAGAATTGTCAACAATTACTGTTGCTAGCATTCTCAACAATCGAAGTAATAATGGTGCATTTGAGTGTTAGACTTTGATCCTTCCAGATGGGAGTTTATTCTTCTTGTTGAAGCTTGATTCTTCCATATGGGAGTGTTTTGGTTAGGTTATTTGTGTTATGGGTGTGTTAGTCTAGTAATTTTGATGTCTATTTTGTGTAAGCTTCCCTGGATTCGGCTAGGTGGCAGATTGGCTCATTCTAGTTGCTTTCTAGTTGTAATTATGTGTTTTTGCTATAAAATCTATCGTTTCGAAAAAAAAAAGAGTGTTAGACCCTCAAGACTGCCTGTTTTGACTAGTAAATAACCTTTTAAGATCTTATGATAGGAGTAAATGGCCCATCTAAAAGAAACTAAATATTATTAAATAAAAAATCACTGAAAAAGAACACAAGGTTGTCCAAGAACACGGAGTTCTCCTCGGGAAATAATCCCGCCCAAGCTAGAAAGCTGACAAACAATATTATTTCTCTCAATACCTCATCATTACTTCCTCACAACCCTTTATAAGCATATTATTTTATTAAGGTAATAGTTGATAAAGAAGAAATATGATAACAATTTGATAGCCTTCCATGCCAAGTAGGATCCCGTGATTCCAGTAAATTCCTTGATTTGTGTGTTACTTATTTTATTTAATTCTCTTTCCTTCCCATGATTTACTTTTGTAATCTCTATCATCTTATATGTGTATGAAGCCTCTTTTTGCCCTTTGTACAGGTATGTATGTGCTAGGCCGGCTGGAAAACGTTGTTTTGTGGTTGCATCCAATGGGACAACGGTTAGTAGGTTACGTAACGGAAGTTTGCTTCATCGATTTCCTTCAGCTTTGCCCAATGGTTCCAGGGTCAACAACAGTTCCCGTTCGGGCCAATCTTATTGTATACTTGATTGCATATTTCATGAGGTACTAATCTCTTCCTGTCCCTTTGTTTCTTGGAGATATGTAATGATGGTCATTGGTTAAAAATTTTTCACATGGATTGCAGCCTGATCAGATATACTATGTAATTGACATGGTGTGCTGGGCGGGAATGTCATTGTACGAGTGCACTGCTGAATTCCGATTTTTCTGGTTAAACAGCAAGCTTGTCGAGTCGGGGGCTTGTGATGATCCCTCAACTTACCATAGATATAGGTTCAGGGCAGTTCTCGTATATAATTGTGATCAGCAGGGGTTAAAAGCAGCTTATAGGGAACCAGTGCCTTATGTGAAGGATGGACTATTGTTCTACAACAAGTGAGCCTTTTCTTGCATGTTCTAAATTACATGATTTAGCCATACGATAATATTATAATTCTTTTCTTCGAACATGGGATTCGCTTTCTTGCATGTGACTGTAGCTGTTTAGAGTGATTATAAACTCATTCAGAAAATGCCCTTTTGGACTTGAAACGTAGGGTACATGCTAATGTTCCTTTTTTTATCCCAAATGGTTGCCTTATCATAGTTTTGGGGTCTCAAGTGGGTATAGTTCTCCATAGTGGGTTGTGTGATATGCTACTTTCTAGTTCAAGGGATATATATGGCACCTAACATGCACTCTTTTTCGATGTTAATTGAAAGTTAGGCACAGAATTTAATGTGTTAGCACGGGTACATTTGACTGTTTCGTTCTGGGTGTATAGGATCACACTTTTAACTGCAAATAATATTTCTGGTCCTCTTGTTTTGTTGCATTATCTCGTTGATCCTTATTTTTTTAATTCTCTCTCTCTCTCTCTCTCTCTGTGTGTGTGTTTTGTGTGTGTGTGTTTTCTTTTTTTCATAGCTGTATGATTGTCACTGATTGATGGAGGGAGCAGTCATCTTTGTGTCTGTCTGAGAATTATACGTTGTGAAATGTATGAGATGAAGACCTGCATTGTTTCGGTGCATTCCTAAACTAGCTCTTTTTTTAGCTCTTTTATTTAGGATTCTAATATTTCATTTTCTTTATAGAGCAATTCTGGTTTCTAGGTTTAGTATCTGCTATTTCTTTAAGCAAGTAAGGTTTGCTGGAGTTTCACGAACTTGTCCTTTCAGTTAGAAATCTCCTCAAGTGCTATATAATTGATAAGTGAATCCGTATGTATCGCAAATTATGTGCTGCTTATCCCACTTTGTTGGATGATTAAGTTAAGAGTTAAGACTGCAGATTGAATTGATAACTGTTTCCTTAATCATGATGAGCTTGAAATAGACTATAACATCTATTACACAGGTTGTCATCAATTTTTTCTTCCGAAGCAACTGCAGTTATTTCACCTTTTATTGATCCATATCATGGGACTTTACTGCAATAATTATAATGCAGGCTGTTGAATGAAATATAAAGGTTATCAAGCATGCTAAGTGTGTGGAGAATCTCCTTAGTGCATTGATTAACCAATAGGACTTAGTAAGAACGGAAGTTCACTTAAATTACAAAAACTTGCAAAAAGAGAATTTGTTGACTATTCTATTGGCCGTATGAAATGAAATCAGAATTGTTCACACCTTCTGCTTAGTCATTAGAGAACTCTGATAAGGTTTCAGCTAGGAAGACATTAATGCCAACTCATAATTGAGAAAGGACTAAAGAAACAATATATATATATATATATATATATATATGTATTAATAGCTTAAAAATGTACAGACCGACCACAAGTTGTGATAGACATCTTTAATTTACCTTTACATTTCCAACTATATCCGATCACACTCATTCCAAGTGGCTACTTTCAGCTCATCTTGTTTTATTCTTATGTATTAAACATTATAACTCATTATTCCGTGAGAGGTTTTTCCCCATAATTTCTTAATGGTTAGTCACCACTATTTTTCTTCATGCTCATTTATGTCTTTCTATTTTTGTCATTACATTCTATGTACCCTTTGCGTGTAGTCTTCTTTAATATGTACAATATTTCAGTTTGTACAGAGAATCTTTGTAAACCATGGTTTCTGGATTTCCTTTTAGTTGAGATGGTTTTTTCTTTTCTTCATTTCTCTGATTTGCTTTGTCTGATTCATTCAGGAATGCCCATTATCAGTCAGGAAATACTCCATTGGTTCTAGTCTGGAAAGATGAGATTTGTAGTCAGTATGTTCTTGATACAGATAGTAAGGGGCAGATTCCAGATCAACAGCAAGTATGTGTTCATTTGCAACTACTTTAATCATTAAGTTTCTAGGTAGGAGGTTTTAATTATAATTTAGAAACTGGCGTATTCGTTGATGCACTTTACGTATTCATCACCATAATTTGAGAGAAATTTGAAGTCATATTTGAAGTTGTACTCTTGTCCTTCAACCTCTGTAGTATTTGCATGATTTTATAGGCATTCCCTCCATGTTCACTGAATTTCAGCACTCCCATATATTTTTCCTCCATCATCCAATCTCTGAATTTCATCTCCACCTCCCCACTCACGAGTCACGACCTCAAAAAATGAAACCCTGGAAACCCCAATCCCACCAAAAAAACTTGTCACTCCTCACACAACAACCATTCCCCCAAATCCTCCTCAAAAACCAAGTCGGAAAACTTCGTGAGCTCGCTAATGGAGGTGGCAACCCGTCCTTTGAAGATGACACCTTAATCTCCCATGTCCCACCTCCAGACCCTGGAGCTCAAGGCCATCAAAGACCTCAAAATTGTCCTCCGACAATGAGCATAGCCCGATTGGAGAACTAGGGCAAATTTGTCATGAACCAAGGCAGCAGTTTTAAGAATAGGTGAGCTGCTGCAGACATCCCCACACTGTAAAGATTCACTGGAACATAGTAGTGGCGACATAGAGCTGCTGATTGCACATCTATCCGCACATGTTGAACCCCAACCTTCAATTTACTTGACCCTTAGCCAAGGCTGACCAATTTTTCCCTGGGTTCGGGGTTCACAAAAGTTTACACTGAATTTATTGCTATGGAAGGTCCGGCACTTCTTACACAGGTAAATTTCCGAGAGGAACCTTTTGAATGATGTGTCGAAAATGCCCTTTTGGACTTGAAATGTAGGGTACATGCTAATGTTCCTTTTATTATCCTAAATGGTTGTCTTATCATAGTTTTGGGGTCTCAATTGGGTGATGGTTCTCCATAGTGGTTTGTGTGATATGCTACTTTCTAGTTCAAGGGATATATATGGCACCTAACATGCACTCTTTCTGAAGAGATTTAACGCCACTGAGACTATGATTCTACCTTAAGCACTAGATTTTATCTGAGCGGCTTGAAGGATGAGATTTTGGTTCACTTTCATCAGTGTTATCAAATGGCGGCCATGGTGGTGCAACGTGGTGGTGGTGGATTTCAGCTAAACTTCCATGTTAAATTTTTTACGGATGGTGGTTATGGCGGAGCCACACGCCGCCATGGTGGGATTTGGGCATGCTCCCATTTTCTACAATTTGCTTTCTGCCATAGGCAACACTGGCCTTTGATCATATGGCATACCCGACATTTGCACAACTTCAACTACTAGGTTCAGACAATTGAACGTGAAATTGATGAATCGGTAGTTGTAGATCCAATTTTGAGTCTTTGAGCCCCAAATTGTCCTCCGTCTAGCTCACCGCTTCTTTCCAAAAAGGCAAGAAGTAAGTGAAACTCAATAGTTGCAAATCCCAATTTGGTGAATACAAGTTGAAGCACAAATATGGGAGAAAGAAGTTTGTGATATTATGCCAACAATTGCAAACAAAATGTAGAAAATAGACACGTGTTGAAAACAACCACTTTTGCAAAACAACACACATTTCTTTCAAAATGGATCAATTGGGATATTTATCAGTGCCAGTATTGGATGAGCCTTTTCAAGCTATAATCCGACAAATTTCTTAAAAAGAGGCCTTAATATACTATTATTCAACTAATTTTAGTGTTCTCTTTTCAAGCTATAATCCAACAAATTTCTTAAAAGAGGCCTTAATATACTTCAACTAATTTTAGTGTTCTCTTTTCATTATTAATGTTTACTTGTGTGTTTGTGCATATAGTAATTTTTATATAAACTTGGGTACATATTCTCATGGATGCTTGTAGCCAACTTATTTGTGTACTTCGTTTGCTCTTTTTAATGAGTATCGCTTAATTGTGTTTACGTCTTTCCACGATCCAACTTTATCATTGACTTCTTACCTCGTGTTGTCCTAACTACTTAACTGAATAACATTAGATACCCAACTGCCCAATGTATCTTAGTCATTACAACTATCCTTTATGAATACGAACACAACTTTATGTTACTTCTCTTTGTTGTTTCGAGTTATTCTAGCCCAACCTTATGCATTTTGCGCAGCTCCCCAGCCTCTCAGCTCGGTCTCATGCTGGCATCCCCATTAGTTTTTCCAACTTCCGGGCTCACCAGCTCAGCCTTATGCTTGACTCATCCCTTTAGTTCCGAAGACTATTAGCTCAACCATGTTAGATACACTCCTCTAGCTCAAACCTATTAGCTTGGCTTTATGCTAGATACATTCCTCTAGCTTCCGAGCTTGTTAGCTTGAGCTTGTGCTACAAATTTAAACCATTTGCATTTATATCAAGTGCAACAAGCTCCTTTTACATAGGCAGCTGCCACTCCAGAATACTTGAAGCTTCTTAGTAGGTTGAGGGCTCTTCAATAATAGCATCCGATGGAAAGCCCAACGTATCAGGAGGCTCAATAGTAACACGATCACATCAATAATATCTCTGACTAACCTATACCATGTGACACATCAGAATCAATAGAAGCATCAAAGACGGTGGAATACCAAAATGATCACATTCAAGGGGAATATCAAAATGAACCTTACCAAGACACTTACCGGCCAACTTGGAAGACAACTTGGAAGATGACTGTCGGTTGATATGATAAACAACTATAGGTGCAACTTCTCCCAGAAAATGAAAAGGAAAGAAAGAGCCAATGACAAGAGTTCTAGCAATCTCAACGAGATGGTAGTTTCTTTCCGCAACATCTTTCCAAGCATATGCACCAGAACATGAGAGTGGGGCAAGAGTGCCCTCAGAGGATAAACTGATGAAAATTGTCAATAAATACTCACCATAAGAATCAGAATGAAAAACTCGAATAGGAGTAGAAAATGAGTGTGGACCATGGGGCAAAATCCTTATAAATGGAATAGAACTGAGAACGGTATTTTATAAAATAAATCCAAGTATATCGAGAATGATTATTAGTAAAAGAGAACATGATATTTATTGCCACATTTTGTAGCAAAAAGGAACGGACCCCATACATCAGAGCGAATAAGATCAAAAGATCTAGTAAAATGAGAAAAACTAGTAGTATATGGGAGTTGAGTTGCAACTTTTTCCGAGGTTGCAACCCTTACAATGAAAACTAGACTCGATAACAACAAGTACTAATCAAAATAGACAAACGAGACCCACTCAAGTGACCAACACGATGATGCCACTTGGTGAAAGATGAGGTGGAAGACGAGAAAACAGATGACACACGAGCCGTAGAACTAGTGGAAGAGGGAATATGCAAAATGTTTAAGATGTAGAGACTCGAAGAACCTCTACAACGATGGTCAGTGCCAATCACAGTTCTGCTTTGACGATACTGAATAAAACAAAATGAGTCATCGAATCCAATAGAAATGTTTTGGTCACTATTGATCAGTCACTAACTGAAAGAAGATTAATGGTTAACTTAGGAACATAAGAAATATTAGGCATTGAAAACGAGAACCCTTATGAGTGATATGAGAAGAAGTGCATGAGCTGAATAAAAACACCAACATTGACCGCCTTGCACAGATTAGATGTCACATGAAAAGATGCTCATGAATCGAGGACCCAAAGACTGAGGAGCTTGGACAGGAGATGCAAATACGAGCTCTTTGTAGCAGAAGTCGTACTACTAGCCCGAGCAGCACGACGTGCACGATACTCCGCCAACTTTTGTGGGCTAAGTAAAATAATTCTTGGAACTATAACCGGTCTTCCCTCAATGCTTACAAGGTTCTGGAGAGCTACTTCCAGGTGCACTAAGCCACTGAGAAAATGTCATTTGAGGAGTTGCCATAACACTCACTGAATGCGGATCAACTAACAGAGAATGGAGACGAGTCTTTTCAGCAATCAAATCAAGAAATGCCTATGCCATGGCCATAGTAGAAGAGTTATGAAGCAACCGTGGACTCAAATTCTGCTTTAACTCCCATGACAAAGCGATAAATGAAGAACTTCTCGACAAATGTATGTGATAAACACTCGCCGGGCAGTGAGGTACCATGGAGATCAATGGTCCCATCCAAGGATCTAAAGCTAAGTAATACTCATCATTGTTCTGTTCAATTACGTGAATTTGTTGCATAAGTGTGTGAAGAGTGCACCAATATACTGAACGTACGCTGTTGCATATAGGACCGCATTCCCTTGGCTGTCCGAAAAGAAGAAAGGCTTATAATCATGGACTACTTGATACTGATGTCAACGATCACTTTACCATCATTAATCTGCAATGTCAGCAACATTGCTAATATCGAACTTCCTTTCAAGTCCATCATCAGTGGAAAGCCAGACCATAACCCCCAAGATGGTTTCAACCGAAAAAGCACACTCCCGATAATTTTAACCATCAAGAATAATATTGATACAATTGCATGAAGTTGCGACATGATTTGACAACGTACGTCAATAGATAAGACTTCGCGATTTTCCAACGCTACAACGAGACACGACGAAACATGAATAAAGGTGTTGCGACGGGCAGAGTAGGGGCACGAACCATAACACTGACAAGTGGATCTTAAAATGGGCAAAACGAACACCAAAACCTTCCAAATTACAGAACTAAAAACACTGGTAACAAGGGGACAAAATTTTGAACCCATGGACGTTCGCAGAAAAAAATCAAGGCAAGCCACGCGCTGTCAGGCGCCGATGCGTGGGATGGCCGATAGAAAATTTCGGTGGCCACACGCGCGGCTTCTGGCGGACAAACTTGGCTGAAAAGTCTATCCCGATGTGGCGAGTTGACTTGTGTGGGAGGTGAAATCGAAAAAAAAAAAATCTTTGTACGACTATGATACCATGTTACAAACCTTTGGGTTTCGGATGAATCAAATAATTGACATATGAAGATACACATATATATCGACTTAAAACCTTTAGTATGTAAAGGATGGGCCTATAATATATTTAATAGGCTCAAGATCTCCTATAAGATCCTAGACTCTCGTTCCTAATCCTGCAATATGATACAAGATTCACTTAGGCAATTCTCGACCCCTTTGTCACATCCCAAGAACAGGTCGCACCAAACATTCTACTTGCTATCGATCTCTTTGACAGGTCGTCAACTACCCTCCATATACTATCGACTTCTCTGATAGGTTAGGCTTAGGCACCTCTTCCCGAGCAAACAACAACTGGATCGGTCCACCGAGATGGCAAATGCCACTTCGATTTGCATGGGTGCATAACCATTTGATGATAGTGAACTTTTTGCATGCAATTGAACATTGTTTACAATAATTTTCATACGTACTAATTCCAGTATTAATTTATATTTATTTTTCATTTTAATTTCATTTTAATTTCTTGAATGATCAGGTGGTACTAGAGCTCTGTGACGATGGTAAAGTGGCTACTTCCGATGATCCTCCTATAATATTTGGTTGCTTGGACAAGGACTTCATACAAAAGGTTCAATTAACTTATTTGTAATAAGTGTAATGCTGTTAAGCTCTGATTGATTATACTCAATGAGGATTACAATATACATATATATATATATATATATATATATAAACCCAAAAGGGATATACGATAGGAAAATAATCAAAGAACCTAATATACGAGATTTGCCATTTCATCTAATTGATAGAATCTAATCTATACCATATTTACAATAACACTTCCCCGAAGCTGGAGCATATATATCAATTATACCCAGTTTGTTACAAATATTTTTCATGTTTACACCATTTACTGCTTTTGTAAATGTCTTCTAACTGATCCTCGCACTTGACATATCTTGTAGTGACGAAACCTTCTTTGACCTTATCACGAACTAAGTGACCATCTATCTCAATGTGTTTGGTCCGTTCATGAAATACAAGACTCGGTGCAATGTGGTTTGCTGCTTAGTTGTCACACCAAAGTGTTGCTGGGATAGCAAATTCTAATCCAAGCTCTTTTGTAACTGATATATCCATACAACTTCATATATTAAATTGGCCATCGACCTGTACTTTGTCTCAACAACTGAGCGAGAAGCAACATTTTGCTTCTTGCTTCTCCACGAAACTAGATCGGGGCTCCCACAAATATACAATATCCTGAACTCGATATTTGCCATAAATCAACTTGCAGACAATCCAAAGAGGAAAAAAATTGAAAATAATTCTGGTTAATAGAACTTGAAGTTATTCGAATGCAATAAATTTTTTAGATATACTCAATTTGGAATTGATTCTATATTATTGAACATATATTGATTATTGAGAAATGAAAGGTGGAGTCATCAATTTGATCTCCTCCAGCCTTATTTGGTTTTTCAACAATGTTAATATGTCGGTCGGATGACTTAATCTAACAATGTCGAATGTTAGTGTTTTTCTTTGCTGATTTTGATAGAATGGTTTTCAATCACTCTTATATTTATTAACTTAAAAATGTGAAGAAGTTATGATTTCAGCGCTCCTCATCATCAAATGGATTTAAGAACCTTGTATCTATATACATCACCATTTGTTTATCTAGTAAATTACCGTGCATACAACTTTCAGACTTTGAAGAATCGATATTAAAAACTAGTTATTGGATTGTTATTTTCAGACAAGACTTGAGCCCGGCAATCTCTTACGGTTTGCCACCAGTGAAGGTGGGTTATGTTTTGCTGATGGGAAACTAGAGAGGGCTGATTTGCAGTTCCTTGGAAAATCTAATCGTTCACGAGCTTTTGCTGATAGTTACTCGAAGGTATGAATTTTGAGTTTATATGAAAATAATATTTAAAATAATATAATAAAGTTGATTTAGTGTAATAGTATGAGAGATATTAGTGAATTAAAGTTGATATGATGTTTTGATGTTATTTAATTACATTGATAATATTGAGGATAATGCAATTGAGTTGAAGTTGAGTTAGATTTTGAGTAAGAATCGAGTATGAATTGAGATAATTTATAAAAAAACACACCGTTAGTGTTTAAATTAACGCCTTGACTCGAGGTGTGGTATGGTGTGAGGTGTCTCTGCCCAACCACCATAAGAAACTTGTGAAGGATTTATAGTGGAATAATTTACGTGGCTTGCTATAGGTGCTTTTCATTCACTTCGCATAAACGTGTTTCTGTATTCGTTTTGAATTTTGGTGAGCATGTAATAACTCGGTGTTTTGCATGTGTTTTTAGGTGGTGTTCCAGTACATGGCTAGACGTTCTCCCCTCCAAATAGAGCATCTATTTGAGTCGGTTAATTCATTCGTTGAAGAAGAAAATGCTGGCGACACATTTATGGTAGGCTAAGGCGGTGAGGTGCCTGATATTGCAGCGACTCTCGCATCCATAATATTGAAGATTTAACAAAAATTTTAACTGTGCTTGTTGCACTCATGTATGGCAGAAAGCGTTATGTAGTAATCTCGAGTATCTCTCATGTATGTCAGAAAGCGTTATGTAGTAATCTTGAGTATTATTGTGTTACTTGAAAACTTGGGTACTCACAAGTTGATATTCTTTTGGCAGAATGCATATTAGGGTTCGGATTCAAACATGAACCTCACATGGTGTAGACATGTCAAAATGCAGCCTGCCCTGCCCAGCCTAATAGACGGGTTGGGCTGAAATTTTATAGGCCCGCCAAAGAGCGGGCCTAAATGGGCTGGCCCGTGTGGGCTGCAGGTGTTGGCGGGCCGTACAAAAAAAAAAAAATGTTTTAGTTTATACATGATTTAACTGACGGACATAACGGTTAATGGTTATGGGCCTTGTGGTTGCATAAGTTAACATGGAAGATACAGCTTGTGAAAATGTGTACATGCGCATGTTATATTTTAATTGTTAAAGCGGCAGGGAAGTATTACAGACTGATTTAAACCCAATATGTCAATATGTTGGTGGGCTGGCCCGCCTAGCCTGCGGCCCGCAACGGGGTTGGGCCAGGCTGCCATTTCAAAGGCGCGCCATCTTGCTCCGCCAAACGGCGGGTTGCAGGCTGGTTCGCCCCGCTTGGACCGTTTTGACATGTCTACATAGGTGACGGTCATTAGCGAACAACTTATCCTGATAGGCCCACCTCAGGGTATATATTTTTACTATTTAAATTAAAATAACATTAATATTCTAAACTATACACAGTATCGCAGACTCTAGCCACACTGGTTTTAAATGATACGAGTAATGCTCTCCTATCAACGGTAGACACATGGTAATATGCTCACCACTTATGTGGCATGTACAACTGATAATGTTGTATGTTCAAAAAAATAAGCGGTAGACATATTAACATGTGCCTATCGTAAGTAGTGGAGTATTACTGTAAATGATACTACATAATTTAGTCACAAATGGATTCTCTAGTTTTTCCAAGAAAGAATGCATTTACATTTTAGTATGAATTTCAGGTTAAATTAGGAATGATCAGAACCAGAATACAACACGTGCATGGCACAAGAGGGTATTGGGCCGGATTTTGTTGTTTCAAAATTTTATGTCAATGATTCATACTTTTGAGTATGTTTTAGGAGTTTCATACTAGTATGGATTTCTAATATAACAATATTCACTTGGTTTAAAAATTTTTAAGTTATAAAATATGTAGTACTACAAAAATAATTGTCATACTAGTAATCCATCCTATGCACATGCACAAATTATACAAAAAAAAAAGATAAAAAAAAACACACATTTTTTTATATAAAAAGAATACTAAAATTAAAAGTAATTTAATAATATATATCACAATTATAATTGAATTGGCACATTAACTAAACATGTTATCTAATAATTAATACATATGCTTAATTTTTAAATTTTAATAAAAATCTAATATAATGTGGAATTTTACATAAATAATGACGACTGTTGTATCAACATAATGAATAACATAACTTTTATATACTTTGAGCATTACATTAATAATAATCATATTAGTACTACCAACTTTTTTTTTTTAAAATATGAATTTAAAATGGACAATCTTATATATCATACAAATTAAAATTTTTAAGAGATTTGTCGTGTAAATTAAATTAAGAACTAACTATATAATAAAGTACATGTACAATATGGCTTATTTGGTACAATAATTGTTTACGTTTAATTTGAGGTCCAAATTTTAAAATTAATATGCAATTGAAATAAAAGATATGTAATATTATATTTTAACAATTACATCTAAACATAATATTAATCACTATCAATATAATAGTAACACAATTAAATTACTTTCTAAAACCTAACCGTTACAACTTTTATTGAATATTTTAATATTTATTAATATATATATATATATATATTAGTACAACACCCGTGTATTACACGGGTGCTTGTTAAAAAATTATACTTAAATTTTAAAATTAATGAGAAAATTATATTAAATTTAGTTTACTTTTTTACAAAAAATATATTACTATATATTTTAGAATGATATGTGTTACTTATGACTTACATGTGTTATATTATATTAGTTTTTATAACTTATATCATATAACTACTTGAAATATAAATATATTAGTTGTTAAATAATTTCATTTTTTTTAATTAATATTAAAAAATATTTTATTATTGTTATAAAGATAAATATAATATTTTTTTATACATATTGAGGATGTTAAATCGAAGCTCATCAAAAGAAGATTAATTTGATATATTACATATGTAAAACTGATAAAAAATACAAAGTTTATTAACTTTTAAAATATATATACAATTTAATAGTTATAATAAGGAATAATATTAAAATACAATTAATACATGTAACATGATCATAAATAATCAACATATTTATGATAATTCGAACCTAATTATTTTTAGTTTGGAATTAAATTAAAATTTACCCAAGCCTAATAACAAAGCATGTAATTTTGCCACATAGGACTCCGAAGCACCAGAAGCAGCCACGTAAGCTCAACGCGTTCTGTATTAATATATAGGGGAAGGGATAGGGGATATATATATAGAGACTTCTTAATATGAAGTTTCAAATAACATTTATGATTATATTATTATAAAATGACATTTTTCACTTATCAGACTTACCCTCCAACTTTTTAATATTTTTTAAAAATTGTTTATGTAATGGACTTAATAAATTAATTTATTTAATTATAAATAGTTTTATTATTTTTCAGTTAATATTGGTACATAATTTAATTTCTATTATTAAAGTGAATACAAATTTATTTTTATATATTAGATGTTTAATCAAACTTGCAAATAGATGATATATTTAGTATATAACGAAAGTTATTAATTTTAAAATATATTTATAATTTAAGTTATTCGAGTATATTATTAATTTAAAAATACTAAAAAACATGGATAGAAATTCTAACTTTATGAATTTATTTCAAATACTAGAAATTTAGGGTCAAAGCATCCCAAACACATAGGTTTGGGGAAAAGAAAATTAAAATCTCTCACTAGAAATGCCCTTAAATAATTTGGATTTAATATATTAATGAAGAAAGGTATATTTTTTTGAAGGAGAACAAATAAAAAAAGACAAAAATTGCATTTTTAGTCCTCCTACTTTAACGACGTAGTATTTTTTATTTCAAGATTTTAACTTTTTGTCTTTTGATCCTGTAATTTAGTATTTTGCTACAATTTCAATCTTTTGGGAAAGAAAAACAACACAATTTAAGATTATAGGACTTAAATTGCTAATAAAAATACATCAAAAGATTTTTTATTAGCAATTTGAGTCCTTTTAAATTTTGTTGCATTTTCAGTCCCAAAAGACTAAAATTATATTGAATTTTAGAATCATAGGACCATATAGCAAAAATGTAAAATTCTTAAGACTAAAAACGTCGCTAGATCAAACCAACAAGATTAAAATTGCATATTTTCCTAAAAACAAATAAGGGAAAGATGGTTCATTAACATCATCTTCACTTTCATCTTATCCTTTTTGAGTCCCATCAGAGGAGGAATCTCACAACTCGCCCACACTACTTAGCTTTATGCCTTTTCCATGGCAGGCAAATGTTGTTCCACAATTAGCACAAAGTACTTAGACAGCCTTTAGCTTTTGCAGATGTTTTGCACTCAATTTGGAAACCCCATTTAGTCATTTCCAAGAATCACCAAAGGAACCCAAAACAAAATAAAAAAAGAAGGTATCATTTTCTTTTTCATGGATATTGATGAATATGATTTACGCGGCAAAATTGCAACTTTAGTCCCGTTGGTTTGATCCAAAAATATTTTTAGTCGTAAAAATTGAATATTTTTGCTATTTGGTCCTATAATTTTAAAATTTAATGCAATTTCAGTCATTTGGAACTGAAAATGCAACAAAATTTAAACTTATAGGACTTAAATTGTTAATAAAAAATCTTTTAGATGAATTTTTGATTAGCAATTTAAGTCTTGTTATTTTACAAGAAAATTGCAGCAAAATTCACGGCGTTAAACCAACGGCTCTAAAAATGCAATTTCGCCGATTTACGCGGTAGTGTTTGATGGTATATAGCTAAAAAAAAATATTCCCTTTTGTTCACATTCATTAATTAAATTCGGATTTTGGGAGTACACTTATGAGAATCCAAATTCGTGCGTGGTGTGTTTTGTTGCGTGCATTAAATTAAATTTTCCACTAATCCAATGGATTAAACTAAGAGAATATTACTATTAGCATAATTGTCGGCCAATTAGAACATGCATGTAGGTAGGGTACATCATGTAAGTAAGTTTTGTTCTATGTTTTGCAAATGGAAATTATATTAAAATTACGTTGATGATGATGAAACATTCCTCTTTTACTTGGACCATATTATATGTGATATGTGTGATAATGTTGAAAAATATTTGATGTATTAATCATAAAGGTATGTACATGTATATAAAGATAAAATATGGGCAAATACTTATGTTGGGCAAATACGGCTCTAAAAACCAACGGCTCTAAAAATGCAATTTGAGTTTGCTAAGAAGTAAACAAATGCGACCGGGAAGGAGAGACTTTCTGAAGACATCCGCTAGTTGATCCGTAGATAGGAGATAGAAACAAGCTTCACAGTCCCATGTGCAACATGCTGTCGAATGAAGTGACTGT